GATAGATAGATAGATAGATAGATGGATAGATAGATAGATAGAAGATAGATAGATAAATGGATAGATAGATAGATAGATATATAGATAGAAGATAGATGGATAGATAGATAGATAGATAGATAGATAGAAGATAGATGGATAGATAGATAGAGAGAGAGAGAGAGAGATAGATTATGTAACACACCTTGGAGCTGTCCGCGGTGCTGAACGTAACTCTGTGTTTAGCTCAGGCTAACAGCTAACCTGTTGCACTCTGCGCTAACGTTAGCCACCGTCAGTAGACACACAATAAACACAGTAACACACAGTAAGAACACAGCAAACACACAATAAACACAGTAACACACAGAAAAAGCACAAACAAAAACACACAGTAGACACACAGTAAACACACACTAACACACAATAACACACAGTAAACACAGCAGGTTTAATGTAACCAGGTGTGAGTAAGTGTAAGTGAACTTCACAGTGTTGTGTGTAGTCAGTGTGAGGTTGTGTTACCTTGTCGGTTCATCGCTGCCTCTGTTGTGTTTTCAGACCTGCGAGTCACTGCAGCCTGTCTCCATCCAGTCAGATCCACACACACACACACACACACACACACTGACAACAGCTACAGGATCAGAGAGCTATTATTACTCTCTCTCTCTCTCTCTCTCTCTCTCTCTCTCTCTCTCTCTCTCTCTCACTCACACACACACACACACGTAGTCATATTGTAATATATAATTTTTGATTGGATTAACATTTATTTAAAAACTTCTCCTATTTTGAATTTAATGTTACCATTTTTTATTGCTGTTTTCCCCATGACTCCTCATGTCCCTCACTCTTTCTGAGGAGGTTTTGAACACGGCAGAGCTCAGAAGCTAAGTTCAAATAAAAGAAGATTACAACCAGGAACCACAGGCTGAATAAAATAAATCCCCTGATGCACAGATGGGTCCTGCACTCGGTAAACAAACTGCTCTATAAGTATTTAAGAACCAGGAGGTGTTTCTGAAGAGCAGCGTGTATGTATATTTTGTGAAAATGTTTCAACACCTCATGGACGGTGAGTTGAAGAATAATCTGTTTAAAATTTCGGTTAGAAAACCTTGAGGTTGTTGAGTTGACTCTTGAAGACATTGTGACATTTTATAAAAAATACATGGTGACTAAGACAGAAACCACTGTAGGCAATCATAGCAGGACATTTGTCATGGAACATTAATGTTTTCTTGGTCATCCTTTTTCTGTCTAGTGTCTTAGAATCTCCTGTGGGCTGCACATCACATTGTGTATATACATTGTTAGAGGCAACAGATTAATTATATCCAGTCTTCTCCACAAAAACAAAAGAAATACCTTCAGATATCTGATAAATATCTGTTCATACAGTTCAAATCTGAATGTAAATGAGGGTCAATCCACTCAACTCAAATCCAATGCAACACAACTGTTGTGAGGATTATTAAAAAGTCTCATTTTATCCGGACTGTGGTACAGACTGTCCCACAACCAGTTGGTCAAATAAAACATTTGTCTCCATCTGCTGACAAAACATGAAAACACAGCTCAGAGTGACTCGTCTGCTCCAGATGAATAATGTGAACAAAGTTTTCTGTGGCTAACGTCAAGTTACTGCTACTGTAAACTACAAAACTACAAAACAACAAAGAATGTTTGTAAAGTCATATGAGAAAGTGATGTAAGAGCGTGTATTTAATT